TGGGGTCAGTCCCGCGATGGTCTGCGCGGTGGCCGCCAGGGGGCAGTGTGGTCCTTCTCAGCATTTCTGGGCCCATCCATCACCTCCGTCCACCGGATTGCCCGTGGGTTCCATGTAGGTGTAGAGAGTTGTGTGCCACGGACAGCGGTCAAGGAATTTCGCACGAAAAGAAATGGTTCAGCTCATGAGTCCCTGTTGAGGGAGGCAGAAAAGTGGGCCCCCAACAGAAGTCAGGGACCCTCCCATGTCCCCAGGTCTCCTCTCTTCCGCTCACTCCTCCTCCCTCAGACCCAGGGGTCCAGGCCCCCAGCCCCTCCTCCCTCAGACCCAGGAGTCCAGATCCCCAGCCCCTCCTCCCTCAGACCCAGGAGTCCAGATCCCCAGCCCCTCCTCCCTCAGACCCAGGAGTCCAGATCCCCAGCCCCTCCTCCCTCAGACCCAGGAGTCCAGATCCCCAGCCCCTCCTCCCTCAGACCCAGGAGTCCAGATCCCCAGCCCCTCCTCCCTCAGACCCAGGAGTCCAGATCCCCAGCCCCTCCTCCCTCAGACCCAGGAGTCCAGATCCCCAGCCCCTCCTCCCTCAGACCCAGGAGTCCAGATCCCCAGCCCCTCCTCCCTCAGACCCAGGAGTCCAGATCCCCAGCCCCTCCTCCCTCAGACCCAGGAGTCCAGATCCCCAGCCCCTCCTCCCTCAGACCCAGGAGTCCAGATCCCCAGCCCCTCCTCCCTCAGACCCAGGAGTCCAGATCCCCAGCCCCTCCTCCCTCAGACCCAGGAGTCCAGATCCCCAGCCCCTCCTCCCTCAGACCCAGGAGTCCAGATCCCCAGCCCCTCCTCCCTCAGACCCAGGAGTCCAGATCCCCAGCCCCTCCTCCCTCAGACCCAGGAGTCCAGATCCCCAGCCCCTCCTCCCTCAGACCCAGGAGTCCAGATCCCCAGCCCCTCCTCCCTCAGACCCAGGAGTCCAGATCCCCAGCCCCTCCTCCCTCAGACCCAGGAGTCCAGATCCCCAGCCCCTCCTCCCTCAGACCCAGGAGTCCAGATCCCCAGCCCCTCCTCCCTCAGACCCAGGAGTCCAGATCCCCAGCCCCTCCTCCCTCAGACCCAGGAGTCCAGATCCCCAGCCCCTCCTCCCTCAGACCCAGGAGTCCAGATCCCCAGCCCCTCCTCCCTCAGACCCAGGAGTCCAGATCCCCAGCCCCTCCTCCCTCAGACCCAGGAGTCCAGATCCCCAGCCCCTCCTCCCTCAGACCCAGGAGTCCAGATCCCCAGCCCCTCCTCCCTCAGACCCAGGAGTCCAGATCCCCAGCCCCTCCTCCCTCAGACCCAGGAGTCCAGATCCCCAGCCCCTCCTCCCTCAGACCCAGGAGTCCAGATCCCCAGCCCCTCCTCCCTCAGACCCAGGAGTCCAGATCCCCAGCCCCTCCTCCCTCAGACCCAGGAGTCCAGATCCCCAGCCCCTCCTCCCTCAGACCCAGGAGTCCAGATCCCCAGCCCCTCCTCCCTCAGACCCAGGAGTCCAGATCCCCAGCCCCTCCTCCCTCAGACCCAGGAGTCCAGATCCCCAGCCCCTCCTCCCTCAGACCCAGGAGTCCAGATCCCCAGCCCCTCCTCCCTCAGACCCAGGAGTCCAGGCCCCCGGCGCCTCCTCCCTCAGACCCCCTTCTAGGATCCAGGAGTCTACCCCCACCCCACTGCCTGTACCCTCCTTCCCAGGGACTCAGAGTCCTGTTTCAGTCTCTACAAAAGCTTTGCCTCCACACGGCTCTTCCCTCCCCAGGCAGCTGTGGGCCCGCGTTGGGGATGACCACCTGCTGCTTCTCCAGGGCGAGCAGCTCCGCAGAACCACTCGCTTTATCGTGCACCCCAAGTACCACCACGGCTCGGGCCCCATCCTGCCGAGACGCACGGATGACCATGACCTCATGCTGCTGAAGCTGGCCAGGCCGGCCGTGCTCGGGTCACGCATCCAGACCCTGCGCCTGCCCTACCGCTGCGCCCAGCCTGGAGACCAGTGCCAGGTGGCTGGCTGGGGCACCACGGCCCACCGAAGAGGCAAGAGCTGAGGGCCCTGTGTCTTGGGCAAGAGGGGCTGGGAGTCCGGACTCCTGGGCCTGAGGGAGGAGGGGCTGGGGGTCTGGACTCCTCGATCTGAGGGAGGAGGGCTGGGCTTGGACCGCTGGGTCTGAGGGAGGAGGGGCTGGGGGTCTGGACTCCTGGGTCTGAGGGAGGTGGGGGCTGGGGGCCTGGACCCCTGGGTCTGAGGGAGGAGGGGCTGGGGGCCTGGACCCCTGGGCCTGAGGGAGAAGGGGCTGGGGGCTTGGGAACGGTCTGGGTGTCTGGACTCCTGGGTCCTGGAGCTTTGGGGCTGGACCCCGGGAGAACCTGGTGTTTCCTCACTTTAGTGAAATACAACAAGGGCCTGAGCTGCTCCAGGGTCACCATCCTGAGCCCCAGGGAGTGTGAGGCCTTCTACCCAGGCGTCCTCACCAACAACATGCTGTGCGCGGGACTGGACCAGGGCCAGGACCCCTGCCAGGTAGGGCCTGCCCGGGGAGGGCCTCTGACCGGCGGGAGTGGGCAGAGGGAGGTGATGGGGGAGCAGAGGGTCCACCCTTGTCCTTGTCCCCAAACCCCCCAGCCACCCAGCCACACAGCATCCCCACGCCCAACCCTCTCCCACCCCTACCTCGGCTTCATGCCTGTCAACAAAACTTGGTCCAAACCTATATGCCAATTTCATGAGTTTATTGGAGTCAAAATTTTGAGGACTTGCCCGGCAGCGAGATCTCCACGGATTGAGAACATGCTCCGGAGACACGCTGCTTGGCAGTTTCTTTCGTACGTTCAGAATCGAAGGGGAAGAGTGAGCAGGGTGGCCCGGCATCCATGTGGTGGTGGATGAAGGAGGCGGGAGAACGCACAGCAGGGAAATCTCCGGAAGTAGGTGCCGAGCAACATGGGAGATGCAAACTTTCCCATTGGGGGGCGCAGGGTAGCTCACCGCTCACACTCACAGTACATGGTACGGAGACGGCACGGGGGCCCCGCCATCACGAGGAGCTCTGTGGGCAGCCGGTCTGGTGCCAGCCCTTGTACCGCCCAGGGGGTTGGAAAAGAAGATGACGCCGGCTTTTCAGAGGCACGTTATCGTAGATGCAGGAGAAGGATGGGCAGGCCTTGAGGAAGGTGAAGACTGTTATCTTTGCTAAGGGAGCTGTAGGCCTGGGGCATGGCCACCCGCTATGACCTGCCCCGATAGGAATTTGCGATCTGACCATCCTGTGAGGTTTCT